CCAAGGTGATCCTGGCCCCGTCCTGCCGCACGCTGGCAGGCTTCCAGGGGCTGCTGGAGCGGGAGTGGATCGAGGTGAGACCGGTAGTCCCAAGGGGCTGAGGACCCAGCTAGGCACCCCCAGCTCCCCTTCACTCCTGTTATTCCCCTCTCGGGGGGCCCCGCAGGCTGGCCATCCCTTCCACCTCCGCTGCGCCCGCTCTGCCTACTCCCACGCCCGGCTGAAGCAGGAGGCGCCGCTTTTCCTCCTCTTCCTCGACTGCGTGTGGCAGCTGAGCCGCCAGTTCCCCTTCTCCCTGGAGTTCAGCGAGTGCCTCCTCCTCGCCCTCTTCGACAACGCCTACGCCTCTGACTATGGCACCTTCCTCTGCAACAACGAGAAGGAGAGGCGAGTGGGGAGGGAGGTGGGGGACACCACATTGCCGGAGACATCACCATGCCCTTGGGTCACGTGTGGTCCCACGACCCCCGGCAGGGACTGAAACGCATCTTGACTCTCCCGTAGGTGCCTGTGTAAAGTGAAGGAGAGCACGCACTCCCTCTGGGCCTGCCTGAACCAGCCTGGGGAGAAGAAGAAGTACCTGAACCCTCTCTACTCACTCAACACCCTCGTCATCTGGCCCTCCGTCGAGCCCCAGAGCATCCAGCTCTGGCAGGGTAAGCTGGGTCCAGTGCTCACAAAACCCATCTTCAGCTCTGAGCTGAGGGAAAGCTGCTCTGCTTTTCCCCTCTCTCTCGGGCTATGGCACAGCTGTAATAACACACAGCCCCTTCTCTCCTAGGTTTATTCTTCCGATGGATCCGTTCGTCCCAGCACCTGGACGAGGCCTGGGCAGAGATCCAGCGGTTAGTAGATGACAGTGACCCCCTGGTCAAGGAGAGCGCAGGGAACAGGCTGAGCCAGTCCCTCTCTGACCCCGCTGCCCGGACGGAGAACGAAAGATGAACAGCAGCATGGGCAATCCGGCCCCCATGGGCTGCCGGGCCGAGGTGATGCTGCAGCTTTCCCGGGGAAGCGCTGTGCGGGACACAGGCCCCGTGGAGCCCGGAGGACAGCACTGGGAGGCGGGGGACACACAGGCTCCCTTTTGCAGCCTCTGGGCTGCACAGACTGAGCTTGTTTCAGTAAAGTGCTCTCTCTCTTGCAGCTCATGCCTGCTTTTCCGCTCTTACGTAGGGGCAGGAGTTCTCTTCCCCCGCAGCGCTCGTACCTGGACCGCAGAAGGGTAGGAGGCAGCTCCCGCTGCTGCGTGCCTGGCTCGCAGCTCCTGCCCCTGCCCGGCTGCCAGGCACAGCAAAAACAGAGCAGCAGAACACTCTAAACCTACAACACCCTCTCCACAAAAGGCACGTGGGCTACAGTTTAAGTGTTGCATCAATCGCTCTGAGCTGGGAGCCAGGCCGGGATATCTGCCCTTGACCCCAGTTCTGAGGAAGGAAAGAGATACAAACCACCCCTCCAGACAGACAGACACAGGGCGAGAGGGCTGGAAGGATGAGGATTTGCAACACAAGCGTGCTAGTGCAGGAAATAACTGTTCCATGAGGAAAGTTGGCTCAGGGACAGTCCAGCAAATAAACAAAGCACCAGGACTGGGCGCGTGCATGTCATCTGGAAAACAATGACCGGCTGCTGCGCTTCCAGCCTGTTGACACTTCAGGGCCGGACCTGAACTGCAGCTCCTCCCCAGGAAAGAGTTAACCTGGGGCGGACAGAGGCCCCAGGAGGACCAGCACTGCTGCCTGCCCATGGGTGGGGAGCAAGGCACTGCCAACAGAGCCGGGAAAGCAAAGTGCTCAGGTCAATTTTGTTCCAGAATGGAAAAAAAACCCAACCATGGAGGTGCTTTTCCTTGTGTTTATAAAAGATTTCTATTTATTTCCCGACAATTTTTTTTTCTCCTGATGTATAAATATGCCCAGCAGGGCAGGAAGCTAGCATCCCCGGGGGCAGGCAGGCAGCCCAACTCCCTTCCTCGCCTTCACGACCTCCTGTGAAAGCCACTCCTGCCCTGTTGAGCCAGCTGGGTTTGTAGTTCCCCACCTTCACCCAACCCCCGAATTTGCTGCTAACTGCTTCCCGCTGCGTCCTGTGGAGCAGACTAACTTCAGCAAGAGTGCTGCGCAGGAGCCGATGGATTGGAAGAGGAAAGGGAAGAGGAGAGGAATTCCTCCTTTATGCTTCAAATTCAAACTCAAAGTACTGGGGATCGAAGTAATGGATGCGAACGTAGCCATCCTCACCCCCGCTGCTGTAACTGTACGGGAGGAAAAACAAGATAAAGTCACCAAAGTTGTCAGCAGCTCACAGCATCTAGGTTTATACCATTACTGGAGCCTGTCCTCACAACCCCCTCTAAAAACTAAGAAAGGAGTTGCAGGACAGAAACGGTACCAGTGATGCAGCCAAAAGGTGCAATAGTGAACCCCCCGGACAGCCTGCGGGGAGGCAGCAGGGCTGGAATAGGAGAATTGAGGAAGGTGCTGGCTCCGTTCCCACTGCAGAGCTCCTGTGAGCCCAGCCATATGCTCACCAGAAGGTGGGCTAGGCTTGACTGGGGCACGCTGCAAGACCCCCAAAGAGCCTCACCTCTTCCCGTCGGGGTGAAAAGCAACACTGTTTATTGGACCGAAGTGACCCTTCACTCTGCCAAACTCTTCTTCAAAAGCCAAGTGGAAGAACCTGGGAGAAGGAAGAAGATTTCAATTATCACAAGAAGTCAGGAGCCTGGTTAGGGACACAACTGGGGTTTCCTCAAAAAAGCCCCGCAAGTTTAATGACTGCTCCAACATGGCCAGGAGCAAGATGCTCTGGGCCAAGCACCCCTGGGCTGTCAGGGGTTCTTCAGGTGATAACTCAATCCTGCCGGAGGAAAAGGACCAACCTTGCCTCAAATTTGCCAATCCTGGTGGAGGTCGTGGTCACATCCATGGCCTCTTGCCCACCACCAAGCACAACCTGCAAAGGAGAGAAGCCACAACACTTCAGTGCTGCTCACACCACGCTCGGCAGCAGCCAGGAGAGGAGGGAGCCAAGCCTCAGCGAAGCCTCCTACTAACCCAGCAGATCCCACAAACTCATGAGTAGGACTGACCGCAGCCCCAGAGAAGTTCCTGCCTCCCAAACGCACTTGTTTGAGCATCAAAGGACACAAAATCAGACTGCACTGCAGTGCCCCAGACCCATCCCACAGTCACGTTTTAAAAAACTGGACTGGCAACACTCTGCCTTCCAGCTGCCTGGGACAAAGCAGGAGTCACAGTAAGACCGTTACAATGAGCAAACTCATTCTTACGTGATCAAAAATGGGGGAGAGGGCAGCAGAGTTCACCGGTCGCTCGGTCCGGAACGTCTTCAAATGCTCGAGTGTTGTGCAATCAAATAGCTAGGTGGCAAAAAAAGAGAGAGTTACTCCGTGAGAGGGCTGGCAGCCCAATTAAGTCACAATTAAGTCACACAAACCTGGCTGCTAGTCCTCACCTGGGCAGATATTAGCTCATGGTCACCCAAATCCCCAAACATTTCCTCAGAATCCCGTAATACTGGCCTCAGGTAACTCTCACCACCTCTGTCACCTTCCGGAGGTAGCGAACAGCAGCGTTAATTTTGGCAATGTTGCTTCCAATGCCTGGCTCTTAATTTAACATGGTGGTGCCTCCCCTTTCTCACTGGGCTTCCCCACTAAGCTTCGACTTTACACTTACATTCCTAAGGAGCCACGGCTCCGAGCAGAGGTCCTGCAAACAAATACCAACAGTCCACTGCATTTCTGACGGGAGGCCTCACCTTGGCTGTGTTGTCCTTGGAGGCAGTGATGAACATGGTCATGTCCCTGGAGGTCTGAATATCGTTGATTTGCTTGGTGTGCTCCTTGATGTTTGAAAGCTGCTCCCCTGACTGAAGGGTAAAGAAGGCAGTTTCAGCCTGCTGGCAAGTGAAGCGAGCGTACACGTGACTTCTCCGTGAAAAACATGCAGGGCAGACACTGGTACATCAGCCTTGCTCAAGGGAGACGTGTATATTAACTATCCTTCCACAAGGCTGCTGGTTTGAGCCAAAAAGCCCATATTCTGTCCCATGACCACAACAGGAACGCTGCGCTATCCTCCCCCCAGACACTGCTGCCCGAGGGAGATGCTGTTCCTTATCAGACTGACCTTGGCACTGAACTGGTTCAGCTCTCCACTCTCGTGTCCTGCGATGATGAACTCTCCCAGAGGGCCCCACACAGCACTAGTGATTTTAGAATCACTGCAGGGGATTTTCATGTAAGGCTCGTTGTTCTCTGCAGGAAGGAAGGAGACAGACAGACACAGTGGCACCAGCTCCGGCGATCAACGCTTCCCCTTATTCCCCGGTGCAGGCACTGGCCCGGATTCCTCACCGATCTGGCTGGGGTCCCGGAGGTCAAAGAAGCTCACAAAACACTGATATCCCATCTGCTTGTCCGTGGAAAACATGATGATGTTTCCTCCAAAGTCGAAGCCACACGTCCTCACTGCTGAGCTGGTCTTCACCAGAGCGAGCTGCTTTCCTGAACACAGAGCAGAAACCGTCAGTCGCTTCACCGGGTCTTTTACTGCAAGGTTAATGAAAATAAGCAGCTGAACAGCAGGGTCAGAGGGAGGATGAGAGCATCGGGCGTAGCTGACGAGCAGGTTCGGTGACCTGCAAGCACTAACCGCACGTTTTGACTGCCTGGGCGGTAAAGTGAATAAATTCACTACTCACTAGAAATCAGGCACATACATAACCCCTCCCCTCCAGCAGCCTGAGTGAGGGTTCAGACTTCCTTCAGGGGGGCAAACAAGCATGTGTTACATCACCACCACCACCTCCTCCAAGCTCAGCAGACTTTGCAGCAGGACAGAGCTGTGGCTCGAACCACAGCCACGTGGGAAGAGCAGAGCCTTACCTGTTTCACAGTCCCAGAGCCGACAGCTGTTATCCGCAGAGCCAGTGAGCACGTGTCGTGTGTCCCCTAGGTCACTCGTTAGGGAATATCATCAGCGCATTCTCAGCCCCAAAAAGCTACCACCTAAACTTCAGCAGCATATTTATATGCAAGATTAAAAAGCTGCATTACACAGAGACTGAACAGGTTCCATTCCAGGACCAGCAATACTCCAGTAGGGACAGACAGGGAATCCAAGTGCTTCCATTACAAACCCCACAACTTTTCTCTTGAAATATTAAAAGGTTCCAGCTCTTGCATTAACACAACCTTTGCATATTTTTGTCTCCAATACCTGCTGCCCACATTGGAGATGGAAGTCCCTGTGCAACTTGGACACCTTCCCTGAGCTCCCAGGGCCACCACAGCAAAAGCAACAACGCTCAAATGAGAGCAGATGGGGCGTGCAGCACGCATTATTCTAAACAACAGCCTGGGAAGAAAAATACCCAAAAGATGGAGTCAGAGAAGAGCTGAACGCACTGCATCACCCCCGTGCTCCTCTTCTAGAGGAAACAGTGCAGTAGTTGGGAGGAATCAGCTCAAGGGAATCGCTATAAAGAAAATATATGGGACAGACAGACCGGCTTCCACGATCAAAGGATACAGTCTGCATCCACACACCAGACGGCTCCCGTGTGGCCATTGTAGGTGCCGAGGCTCTCTCCATTCACCGAGTACCAAACGTTGACAATCTGGGAGAATAAAACAACCAAGCACCCCTCTTACCTGACGGATTAATTAAGGGGACTGACGAAGAACCGGTCAATTATGGCGGTGGGGGGCAGGAGGGGAAAGCAGGGCCTGCCGCACTCACGGGATCCTTGGCCACGGTGAAAAGCAGATCTCCCTCCCGGTTGTACTTGATCTGCGTGATGGAGCGCTCATGGCCCTGCAGCAGGATCGGCTTCTACGAGGGGGGAGACGCCATTTAATGCCTCAGGCGAGGCGCGGCCTTGGCCCCCGGGACGGCGTTCCCGGGCCG